ACTTGTTTGAATTTTTATGGCAAAAAGTTTTACAAAATTGATTTAGACCCTAATTTCTTAAATGATACTCTGTTCATCTATTCATAAAATGTACCTAGTTCAGACATCTCTGACAGCTAGCATCATTTGATTCTAGAATAGCAGCAAAAAATTAACTTTGCAAAAATGGTAAACAACTTTCGAAGTATTTACTAAATATCGTTTTTAAAAACATAAAACTGCTTTTTTATGGTTGTATCGAGTCTATTGCACATTTTTACCTATTCGTAGGGAATAATACATTTTAATTATGACTTTATACCCTAAAATTAGTAGATATCCCTACTGTGACTTGATCCCGAAATGAAAGAAAACAATAAAATAAAACAAAAACAATAAAAAAACAGTTATTTACTAACAAAATCACCTCTTAAACTACATTCCATGCTTCTTCAAATGCTGAGCAAAGTTTAGTACATGTCAATGCAGCTGATAATGGATAATTACTGATTGATATAGTATCCTCGGTATAATCGACATTAACACTGCCTCTAGCCATTGCACCTACAACTATGGCGATTGGTTCTTCAGTTTTTGGCACCAACTCTCGACAAGGTTGAATTTCTTTCGAGGAAAAAGACATGGCTATTTTTTTAACACCAACTGGAAGATGGTCTGTGATAGGATTTTTTATTACTTTCATCAGTTTCGGCCCACCATCTGCTCTTATTGAAAATTTGTGTAAAAGTTGTACTGAAAAAAAAAACACATTTCAGTAAGAAAATACATATAACCAAAAAATCAGACACAAATAGTGTTGAGCTTCTATTTTGCAAAAATATGAGTTTAAAAACTCATTATTAAGGAACTCAGTAAAGTGTGCCAGTTACTTATAATAATACTAATAGTATTTATTGTGTCATAAAATACAAAATTGCACAAAAAAGGAAGTACATTTAAAATAATATCACCCAAGCCTAAAAAACAAGTGAAATAAAATAAGTAAAAAAAATTAATGTTACAAAGTTTAAAAAAAAAAAGATAATGATGTAGATAATGTACTAAAAGCTAAAAAATAATTCGGAAGGTCCTAGGTAGCAGTCACCACACCACTCTCCTCAGCAATTCTTGGCATTGATCAGATAAAAAAATAATAAAATCGTTGGGTGTAGCGTAGCCTATTATTTTCAAGTTTTTAGTTTCTAATTCTGTTACTCAATTCTTCTCACTCTGTTGAGTTCATTTAGCGCCTCAGTATTACAAGGTTTATTTCACGATAATATGTTGCAATCTAACTCCTCAATACAGTCAGCCCCTGTCATTTAATACCTATATTGGGGTAGTTGTGAAAAAATATGTAATCCGCCATTTAGTTGCTGCGGCCATCTTGGATTTACAACGATACAATATTTATTAAATTGAATTGTCATCAAAACTAAATGTGTGTACCAAATATCAAATCAATCTGCCAACAGGAAGGAGGCCAAACTTCAATTACTAAATTTGACCCAACAAATACGGCAAGCTAAATAAAACCGTTTTTTTTTGCAATCTTACACGCCTTTCATGAGATAAACAAGGTCCATAAACTCTATCAGCATAGTTAGTATGCGAGAGGACAAGAGAGTTGCAAAACATTTTTTAAGTGGTCGTGTCCAGAATCTGTTGGAAGGGAAATAATTTTTTTAAGGCTTAGGTAGGTTTTTTTTGCGATGGCACCTAATTGTTTGGAGAATATGGGCCCTTGGTTAAAAATAACACCAAGACATTTACCTTCAGTCAGTACATACAAGGAACTCATCCAGGCAGCTCAAGTTGAAGGATGACCCAATAAGGATATTTTGGTTTTTTGCTGGGTTTAGGAGTAGGGAGTTTTCCTCGATCCCCTCTTTATGATTGTAAGATCATTGTTTATTTTTATCAGCGCTGCAAATTTTTTGACAACGCTGTGTTTAACTAGAGGAAGTAGCCAACTACAAACATATGCAGATTACAGTCTCTCATCAACTGCCGCAAGTTAGATGTAAAAATAGCATAGAGAAAGGGAGCAAGTACTGAACCCTGAGGTATGTCATTATTGCCAATACGAGTGTCTGAAGTGAGTGGTGTCATTTACACTGACAAATTGTGATCTGTTGAAGAGCCAGTCTGAAATTCGACCAAACCCCTTAGTAATGGGGTTTGGCGATTAGGCAGTCAAGATTGACAGTTATCAATAGCCTTGGTTGACTAAGACATTGAGGATAGTGTCGAAGAACATGCTACGACAATTTTATTGTTACCTTAAGAAGGCATGACCAGCCGGGCCGTCTTTAACTAATTGGGAACCCTGGGCATAATAGGATAATGGGGGCCCTGGGCATAATATGATAATGGGGCCCCTATGACTTTGACAGAACAATATTTTGTTAGAATAGACAGAGAAAGTAGATAAACAAGGTTAAATATTTATTTTTATGAACAATCACATGAAACGAACAGATAAATGTAATATAGTCCACAAAATTAACTTTTTTAGAATTTGCAGGTTTGTGCTTAAAAATCTGTTATTTGTCACCTCACAAACCACAAGAGGAGACTAAATCATCTGTCGGTAACAAATTTTAGGCTACCCCGTAGTTCGATGGAGGTGGATCACCCTGTAGTACGGCGGAAATGGATCACCCTGTAGCACCACCAAGATAGATCACCCTGTAGGGCACAAAAGGATGGACCACAAATGGATCACCTAATAAGACCCCAAAGGTAGCTGAACACCTACCAGTCCGGGGAGTTTGTCAACAAGGTGTTCTACACCCCAGAAAAAAAAAACCCTACGAAAGGAAATTCTCAATCAGAATCAGATAAAAACAAAGTGAGATTCAACCCCCAATCAATAGGGATTAGATTTCAGATGGGCAAAATCGTTAATCACTTCTTCAAAATCTATGCTTTTTAGCACATCAGATTCTATCGACATCAGCGACAAACTGGTCAATATCTCTTGAAGCATCGTACTTCCTAATTCATTTTTAATTCTTTTCAATTTGGAAAAGGAGCGTTTCCCACTGCAGTTAGTTACCATCATACCTTAAAAGATTCTCGATGCGATTTCTACATTTGGAAATGTGTCTTCAATTTTGTTTTCTTTCAAAAGTTGATATATTTTTAATATACAATCCTCATTTTCACTATCAACAATTTTCAAATATTCTGTTATCTGTTATTCTGACCATCTGGTTTGTGAAAAACTTTCAACAACTTTTTTGAATCTAAATGTTCTGTCAATATACTCCATCGACGAGTAGAGCCCGAAAAAAAGTTGTACACTTTCTGAACCATTTCAAAAAACTTTGTTGCCTCCGATACACTCCCAGCAGCATGCACACCTACTAATTCAAACTTGGAGCTTCATACTTCGCTTCATTCGCTCAATTTAAATGCAGCGAGTCACACTGATGAGTGTACTACTGATGATTTTTCTTTAAAATGTGTATGTGCTTAGTATACCATTATATATTTGAATTTATCTACGCATGCTGAAGTCGGAAAACCTAATTTTTGGGCGAGAGTAGAATAGCTTCGCGCATGTGAAAGCTAGTAAGATGGTATTGTAGTCAGTAATTTGGGTTCGATTTCTTCGAATTATATATAAGTTTTTTGGTATCTAATAAATAGTGGTTATCGTTTGGTGATCTGTCAGGAACTAGGCATTTTGTATTTGATCTGAGGGAGGCCCCTATCTATCACGGGGCCCTGGGCACTTGCCCAAAGTGCCCACTGGGAAAGAGGGGTCTGATGACCGGTACGACAATAGAATATGCTGTTCTTTAAAAAAATCTTGTATCTAGGATAGTATACTCCTTCAACGATTTTGAGAAATACAGATGTCAGTTTCAAAGAGTAAATATCACTGAAGCTATTTACTTTTGTGGAGGACTTCTTATGGGAACACAGCCTTGATTATATGTTTGAGGGGAAAAGGCAATGTTTAATTGAAATCAAATCATTTTATAAAAGATTTTGTCAGGCCCTTTAGTGTGGGTGTGACTTCTGCTTGAGAAGTAGTTGTTTTAGTAATTTAAGACTAATAGGGATAAACTCAAAAGATGCTGAAAAAAAAGGAGTTTTTGTTGAGAAGCTTTAAATGTAGTTGTATTGGCCAGGTTATGAGTCAATAAAATGATAATGATAATATTTGCATTTTATTGCCAATGTTCCAGGACTTAAGTTGGGTCCACATGGCTTTAGTATTCTGACGGTGAGGTTTAGCATATAACAGAAGTAGGACTTCTTTTCAGATGAGACGCGTTGTTGGTATTACACAGAGTACTGAGGAGGAGTGGAAAAAATAAGTTCGCACAGCAAGCAGAATACTTCTGATAAAGAAATTTTATTCCCAATCGGTTGAATAGTATGACAGACATTTGTTGAAAATACGAGTAATTTTCTAGAAAATAAAAACAGGAACATAAATAATGTTTCTTATTTCTTAATATAATACATAACAGACAGAAAAGTTCAAATTAATTCCCTTCTCAATACCGCTAAGGTACCAGAAAAACTTGTTTGCATTTCCAATACGCCAAATCCACTACGACAAATCCAGTTTCAGATGGACCGTACAGTGCTGAACTTCTGACCGTAGTACTTTTTTTAAATACAGAAATACATAAAAAGTGAATTCGAATTATACCAAAAAAGTTACTTACAGCGCCATTTACCAGCAAATAGATCAAGCTATAATGTCGATAATTCTGTCGATACAGATCACGAGCATTTAAATGGGAATGAAATATGAAATGATAAATTGGTTGAAGAAAATATGTAAACAAACATGGTGCAAGGGGTATAAATGATGACAAACGAAAACATAAACATAATCATATTAGGTAAATTACCAGCGGTAGGAAAGTTATGCTACAGAACAGTAGTTTAGTTCTGTTGAATTTCCCGAAGGCATTGATTTTCAGTTTCCTCAATATTCGAAGTGTATTGGTGAACTATGGTTAAGAGGATTTACTGGTCGAATTAAGGATGGTTTTAAAGTAGCATGAGTTTCAAAGAGTGATAACAGGCTATCCAGTTTGTACAACTGATTCCAATCAATTTGTTCAGTTTCAAATTCAAAGTCAAACATATGAATCTGTGGAACATAAAAGATCTGACCTGTTTCAGAAATGGATTTGGTTTTACTATATGTGTGAGGTTACAATGCATGATATTATGATCAGGAAGCCCAAAACTGATCACTGATGAACAGATATTCAGTAAGGAGTTACTGATAATAGTATCTAACAAGGTTGCTGAAGAATCGGATGTACAGGTTGGACTGATAATAGTTTGTTTACTATCACGTTCAAACATAATATTATGAAATCTTGTTTTTATAGTATCTATGAGAAAAATAATGTTTGAATTCCTTAAGATCACAAAGTTTGAGATATTCAGACTTTAAATGAAATAATGATATCATCTAACAAGTTGAGTAGGTGATAGAACTGCTCGTATGGAGATAGTTGTTTGGGCAGATTTAGATTTTATTGAAGTAGAATAGTCGGCACAGGTTGTAGTAGGTTTAACTGTGAGGGTTGACTTAGTCACTTGAGTATAAGGGGATTGAGAAGACCGATTGGAATTTTCATGTAGCAATTTTATCATGTCAATGTTGCTATCCTCCAAAAGGTTCGTTCCAACCTTGAGTCACAAACAGATTTCCAACTGTTTGTAAATCGTTGACAACGCACATGTCTGGTAAATATTGGTTTCTGATTAATTTGAAATTTCTGATTGGAACAGCTGATAGTTCAACTGAAGTTTGGCATGGAATTTCAACATAACCTTTAAAAATAAAGTACCGATATTTTGGGTTGAAGTTTCAAGTTTGGCGTTTACTGTCATTAGAGTTTCATCAGGGCATTCCTTCAACAAAATTGTGATCTTCTGTCGAAATATGTTGATATTGAATCCATTTTGGTAATGGCCATCATAAACAGTTGGATAGTTGCATTATATGTCTTATCAAATTTACTTCCAATTTAATCTTCTTTACGACACTTTCCGCAATCCATTTGGAGTTTTAGCAAGATTCAATTTTATATAAGAGTTCTCAAAAAGGAAGAATTGGCAACGCTGCACCCAGAAGCACATTGTTCTGTCTCAATGAGGGTAATATTCAAACAACTCAATACTCCAAAATACACTTGTATGAATTACCAAAAGCTACAGAGTCAGTTGGAATCATCATATGCACTTAACACTGAATAATTTTTCAAGGCTATGTTCACTAATTAACTGAATGAAAATTTGGCAACTTGAGAAATATTATTGTTTTATTATTTGACCTCACTTGACTCAATCAAACTAATCCTTTTTTGACTCTTTGAATTTACACTTTTTTCCCATTTTCTCGATGAAAATTTAAGATAGGAAAAATGTTAACACCATTTCATGACCTCAACATAATGAATGGACTGACCTGTTACTTGATGAAAATTAACAACTCTATCTATGATTTCAATAGCTCATACTGGAGCCTCTGACGTAAAATTAATCTATTGAAAACACTTTCCCAACACCAGAACAAAAAGTACGGTCCCTCGACGGTCATTTCGCTAACCAAGTCAGTGTCCTCAGGAGACCATTATTGATTCATAATGTTCTCATAAGGACGCTAACTTGGTTAGTAAAACGCGCGTTGAGAGATCGTAATTTTTGTTCTGACTTTGGGAAAGTGTTCTCACTTTCTAATACACAATTTTCAAAAAAACGTTGCTTCCCCAGTAGAAATATCTACCGAGAAAGCTACGGTGTTACTGAAACACATCTAATGTGTTTATGAAAATTGTATAATTATTATCACGGATAATAACCTCAACAATTTGAATACTTATATGTAACTAGCAGTTGTTCCGCGCATTAGTCTTTTTTCTCTCCTATTGAAAAACTGTTGAGTTTTCTTTTAGGACTCTATTGGAAATGAAAGTTTAACGCCACTCACCCATAAGGCCACCGAACCTTTTAAAAGTTCTAGGGATCCTCGTCTGTGGATTTATTTCTATTAATACATTGTTAGCAGTATGTATATAAACTTGCAATAAACCTGCTCTATTCAATGGACTATCAAACAGCATCAACAAACATTGATGAGTTATATCAGGACGACAAGATCCTACATCACGTTTGTTACTTTTCAAAACATGTGTGTGATCGTCGCAATTCAGTAATTCAAATTTATTCCCTACCTGAAACAAATTATACATGATTATCAAAATGAAACATTATTTTTGTACCTACCTTAACACTTTCCAGTTGGGCACCTTCCAATATAATTATCAAACGTTTTTCTTGATTCTTTAAATGTGCAACAACCAAATGTTTCGGTATAGGATCAAATTCAAACTCATCCTCTTTCGATTCTTTCAATTTTCGCTTTTTTCCCATTTTTCTGCAGTTAGATTATAAGACAGGAAAAACAAAACTGAGAACACCTATTTCAACCTCAAATTGAACCTGAAAAAAGAAGTACTTCTTCTTCTTTTTGTCTTTACTTCTTTGAGACAATGAGACATAGACTTTATAAACGAGCAGAACAGACAACTCAGTTTTTAACGCATAAAGGCGAGTTCATATTAGAACGATTGCGATAATATTTTTGCGGTTCCGCAAATTTGCCTCAATTGTCAAAATACCCTGTTTATGTTGAAGTGGGCAATATCTAGGGATTTCATTGTTGTTGAATTTTAAATTTTAGTACATGAACCTGAATGATGACATACGAATTACGACTTTTAAGACCAGACCCCATCATATCAGAATATAGGACTAACAATTTTCTCAAGTTTTGTTTAATAGAATCGTGTCCTCAAACCACTTATCTTAACGTTACTGCCTGCAGGGGCGAGGGTTTTTTTTGCAAAATGAGTTTTCTTTAATGAGGGGCCAACCAAATTCAATAATTTATTGAATAATGAGAGAGTGAACCTGAAGTAGTTGAAATATTTCTCTGGATCACTAATTCTCATTTATTTCAGCCACAAGATTGTAATATTGTGATTGTGATATTTTCTTCTATTTTTGAAAATATTTCCCACTATAAAGACGAGGTTTTCTCAATGAAGCTTTTTACGGTAAATTTGATATAATTTGAACAACCTGACACATTCGTCCATTTCGGATTCAATTTCGATGGATGGGCAATATAACTACTTTGTATGTTGACGTATAACATTCTGCGGAAATCGCAAAAGAGTTCAATTTTTTCAACTTTTCTACGATAAACACGACGCCATTTCAAATCGCACTTTTTATGCGATGTTCGTCCCAACATGAAATAGCCTTAAGTAAGAAATTATGAACAAATATTTTTTTCATGGGATTTCTTGCTGATGGTCATTGTGGGTATGGCTAACCTAATGGAATACAAAAATGGAAAGATAAATACGTCCTATTGGTAGATGCAATAAACCAAGGAAAAAATGACAGTGTCTTCGTTTCAAATATTTTGATTTAGTGTTTTGATATTTCAATATTTTTAATCAATAATTATCACAATTGATATTCGTAATGAAGGATCGGTAGCATAAATGAAAGGAGCATTTTAGAAAATTCAACATTTGAAATATCTTCAATATGGAAAATACAAATTTTATTTCTACTTCAAAATCAAGATTTTTCCTTTTTTTTTTCATATTTTGGAAACTGTTATGTGAGAATTTTGTGAGAAATTCTAAGTGAAGGAGGGTAAAATGCGAAGATATTTTTCTGTTCCAGTTAGTAGTTTGACACGGACGACAGAGGCACACTAGACTTGGTCTACTGCGCCATAAGGGAAGCAAATACCATAAAAATAAGAAGAAGAAGTGGAACTTCGGAAATAATTGTTGGTTATTCACTGTAGACTAATTTGAATCTGTAATTTGTATTGATCACAATAAATATCTTAGATGTAGTTTTTGTTTTGTATTATGTATTTTTTGATAATGGTGTTCAATAAAAATTATCAAAATTATTGATTTGAAAGAAATAAAAAAAACAGAGCAAGTCAGTGTTCAGTTAATCAAAATATATTCAATTACATTGACTTTAAGTTAAAAAGGCTGAGGCCATAGAATTATTTCAAAAGGTTATTTGTTGTTTCTTTCATGAACCGGGAATGAAACATCAATATTGTTTCACTAATACTGTTTTTTTTTAAATCATAAGTAGAGGTTTTAGGGAGATGGATATGCATTCTGGAAGATTTAATTTCCACTTTCCCTAATGAAATAAAAATGTTTTCTTTCGAATTTGAATTCAATCGGACATTTATACTTCCTATATGATAAAATTAATATTTGACAATAGCAGTCTGGATGAGATTTCAACAATTTATATTTCAATAATCTGTGATGGATATGGAATAATCGCTGACGCTAGGTTCAAGAATAATTTCATTAAAATATCATTTGAATATAACATAACTTGTCTTTTTTCCGTATACGGAGTATTTCAGGAATTTCTCTTCCCTTCCAATTTTTTCCTGATCGAGGATGAATTCCTATCACTTCAATATCCGAGTCGCAATCGTATCATCGGACAAAAATCGTAGATTCATATAAGCAAAAATGTTTATTCAATACGAGCTTCCTTGGTGAGTTTATATTCGGGCTCTACATCAAATTCAAAGATGCTGTACATTTCATTATCATTTCCATATTCGGCAGTGATATTACAATTCACACGAACAATTCTAATCTTATTGATATTCACGGGTAAGGTTGATTGTCACTTTGTCATCAAACCTCAGAAATTCGTCAATAATGCTTTCATTGAAAGAGGTAGGGAAAGGTCGGGCAAAGAGGAATAGGCGGGCAAAGTGAAAAATCGGCATATTTTATTTTAAAATTGGCGGGTTCAAGTTGTGCTGCCATGTGAACATAGCTTGCTTGGGTTGGCAGTTGTGAATTGTGAATGCAATAGGTATGGTTATTTTATCTGAAATCGTTCATGTTTCTGAACGTTTTGTTGTAATTTTTTTACTGTTTTCTGTAAGGAATAATAAATAAAAGGTAAGTGTTTTATCCTCTATCTATTTGTCAGCTGTAGTTTACATGTTTAGAAGTATTTTAATGTGTTTATTGGTCCTGTTTTTCCGTTTGAGATAAACAGGTGGTTTTTTTAACGGTTGTAGGATGGCGGGCAAAGTGAATCACAGGTGTTGCGGGCAAAGTGAAATATTTGTCAAAGTGAAATGATTGTTTTTTCGCATGATATAATCAAGCTTTTTTTATTTTCAGATAAAAGATGGTGTATAACTATAAAAGAAAAACAACTTACCAATCATGAGATAAAAATAACATGGAAGTGGCACTGGTTGCTTGTAGGGATGGGATGCCAGTTAATGCGGCAGCACGCCAGTACAATATTTCTGTTACGACACTATTACGAAGAATAAAAGCACCAATTGATCAACCTGTTGATAAAAAACTTGGACGATATCGTTCTGTATTTAGTAAGGAGCAAGAAAAGATTTTAGCCGATTACGTCTTACAAATGGAAGAACGACTTTTTGGTTTAACCATAGCAGATCTTAAGTCTCTCGCATATCAATTTGCTGTTAGGATTCACATTTCTCAACCATTTATTAATGAAAAACAAATAGCAGAAAAAGATTGGGTTTATGGATTTTTAAAAAGGAACACGAAGTTATCACTGCGGCTTCCAGAGAAAACTTCGGCAGCTAGAGCGTCGGCCTTCAATGAGGTAAATGTTAATACGTTTTTCGACCTACTTGATCATTTATATGGAACTTGTCGATATTCCCCGAATCGCATATATAATTGCGACGAGGCAGGAATTACCACGGTTCCAAATAAGCCTTCCAAAGTTATATCGAAAAAAGGAAAAAAACAGGTGGGAGTTTTGTCCTCCAGCTTTGGTATTTCCAAGGGTTCGACACAATGTGATATTTGAAAACGGAGTTCCCCCAAATACAAAAATTTTCACCCATCCAACAGGTTGGATGCAGACCAACATATTTGCTGAGTAGTTTGAACATTTTCTGAAATTTGCAAAGCCAACAGCTGAAGACTGCGTCCTCCTTATTTTAGATGCCCACTCTACTCACATAAAAAACCTTGATATGTTAACTGTTGCCAAAAAAATTCTGTTGATATCCTTGTTTTACCTCCACATTGCACACATCGGTTACAGCCACTTGATGTCTCCTTTATGTATCCGATTTCCATCTTTTATCAACAAGCAGTAAGAGTGTGGCTGCGAGAACACCCCGGAAAAAATGTTACTATTCACGAAATTGGAGCCCTATTTGGAGAATCCTACTTAAAGGCAGCCACAATGGAAACGGCTTTTTACGGATTTAAAAAAACGGACATCTATCCCTTTCAAAGAATTTTCAACGCCAGCTCCTTTGGTGCAGATGAAACAACCAATCGTTTGGCACCTCCTGGAACAAGTAAAGATCAAAGATCATATGCCGTACAAGAAAAACCACAAAAACCTTCAAATGTGAGTCTGGAAGGTGCTGTTCTTATGTCTCCTTATGATATACTACCAAGTATATATACTTGATATACTAGTCAAGTAGATGTCATGCATAAAAGAAAGAAATGTCATGGATCCACAGTAGTTGCGACCTCAACCTCTTTTATGGAGGGGTTCAAAATAGCCAAGCAACCAAAGCAACCACCGAAACAAAAATAAACAACAGTGAAGAAACAACTATTGTTTTCTGAGAATGACAGTGATACTGATAGTGAAAGTAGTGAAATAGATCTACCCCTGAACGATGACAGTAGCTTCGAGTTGGATGAACAAACCTCTCCGAATGGCCACACAGGTAAAATACGTTTGCAGATTTGAAAGAAGGGAGCTGGGTTGCAGTAAACTATGGCAGAAATCTTTTTCCGGTAAAAATATTTTCGTTGGCCAAAAAAGGACGACATAATGACTTACGAACAAGAAGACATCCATATGCAAATTAATAAAACAAAAATACTGAGACGTGGTTTTTTGATGTTCCGGAACTGGCTACATATGAAACCACATAATATTTTGATTTAATCAAATATTACCTGAATTAGACTGTTAATTATGTTTTTATCAAACGTTATCTAAATTTAATTAACTTTTATTTTTTATTATTGAACTGAGTTATTATGAAACGTTATTATGAAATGCTATCACAAACTTTCATAACAACCATGTTTGGGCTCTCGAAAATCCGCACGCAGTTAGTGAAAGGCATTATCAGTATCAATTTTCTGTAAATGTATGGGCGGCAATAATTGATAATTACTTGATAGGTCCTTTCTTTCTTCCGCTCCGACTGAATGGCGCAACTTACAGACACCTTTTAGAAAATGAATTGCCGGGACTACTTCAGAATGTACCATTAGAAATTCGTACCCAAATCGATGGCTCGGCAGGGTTGTAGAAGAACCTAACCAGGCGTGGGCACCAAGGTCCCCAGATCTAAACCCGATAGATTTTTATTTTTGGGGACATTTGAAGTCACTAGTTTATAAGACTCCAGTAGTGAACGAGGAAGATGTAAGAAACCGAAAAGTAGACGCCTGTGAAACAATAAGAAACACACCAATAATTTTCGAGCGGGTACAAGGTTCAATGACTAGACGACTGACTGCCTGTATCTTCGCTAAAGGTGGACACTTCCAACAATTTATTTGAATACAATTTAGTTTCGTTTATTTTAGTTTATTCTACATATTCAAAATTTCCTTAAATAAAATGTTGACATTTCTTGCAAATTGTATTAAAACAAATACTGATTATGCACCCTTGATACAAAAATAACTATTTCACTTAAGGATATCATAAAGGAACGTACCCAAAAGTAATGACCTCTTCAAACGAGTAAAACGTCAAATTCATTTCCAAAGCATTCTTGTGAAAAAAGCAAAATATTCGTAATAACTTCAACATGTATCGATTATCAAATAATCGACTTGAAGTTTTCAAGTCCAAATATTTAGAAAACGGTTGCTTACAGCGACTAGTAACAAGGGTCGCTTATTTACGTAGATATGATAGAGGAATCGATTTTTTTACTGAAAAATGGGCTAGAAGTACGCCCAAAAAAGTTATGAATCTTTAAAAAAGAAAAAGACGTGTAGGTGGCGCCCCCTACGAGTAAGAGCAATAAGAACATCAGGTTCAAATTCGACACCTCAAAAACCTCCTATTACCAAGTTTTGTTTAATTAAGTCCGGTATTTCAAAAGTTATTTAAAAAAAAACGAAAATAATAAAACTTCAACATCCTGTATCTTGGAAACGAAGCGTTTCCGGACATTTATTTATTTGGACAATTCATATTAGAATATTGTGAGGAATCACCTCCTGAAGTTTGTCAAAGTACTTTTGAATCACCCTGTATATCCTATACGACAATATTTATTGTATCCCCCTAAGAGGGGAAAAGACGCCACTGGTCGCTCGGTAGTGTTCGGAAAATTTAGCAGCTGGGTCTGGCAGCCAACTTCGCACTGGTTCTTTATGAAGCGTTAAGCGTGTTCTCTTTACTTACCAGTAAGTAAAGAGAACACGATGCACTTTCCACTTTGTCATTTGTCAAAAAGCCTATTCCCTATTCCTGCAATGACACTCCACCTCCACAGGCCACAGGCAATCAAAAATGGGAGAGAGTAATTGACAACCCATTGTTATTTTAGAACAGATTTGCTTTTGTTTTATCGATTACCTATAAAATATATTCATGCAAGTAACTGGATGATTACACTCAACTCAAACCTGTCTTTCATACAGTACTTATTTTCTTAAATTCATACTTAAGGTATTCTAAAATATTGTAAAATTGAATAGAAGTTACATTTGTTTGTCATTACCCAATAGAATGCCTGTACTTCACAAGATGTAATTTTCAAGTAAATGAGAGAGATGAATTGTTTATTGGTTATAACAGAAACTGGGGGAGACATGTTGTTTTCTTTGTTTATTGTTATTTTAGAACAAACTGTTTTTGTGTCATAATAGAGGCACAGATTAAATACACCTAGTAATTGTAAGTTTTAAGTTGGTGACAGGAATATTATATATTTATTTGATACAAGTCATTTGATCAAAGCCACGAGAAATAATATGGTGCGAGCGTTGTTTGTTTTGATGAAAAGAAAACATCATGGTCCTTCATAGACATGTTTTTTCAGCAAGTTAAAAAACAAACCTATATATGTGCAGCTGAACTCACATCTTCACATATTTGTCCTACAAATTTTGAAAAAATTGAAGTCAAACTTGCTACCCAAGTTTTTAGTAACACAGTAGCTAGTGCAATGAATACTTATGTGAGTTTAGGGGCTCTTCCTGCAGATGCTATGGCAACAATAGACGTAATTGAAAAATTTGATAAATTATTTGATTTATTGAATTCTTCTGACAATAATCACCAGATTAAATTTAAAAATGTTTTTGCTGGGTCTGATGGGATACATATTGTGTTCTCAGAAGGACATTTTCTCAGTTTGTAATTATTTTCCTTCCAAACCTGACGAAGTGTTTAGCCTCCTCGTTGGTCTTCGTCGAATGGTATTTATTAGTGATCTCTGGAATATTCTGTATTATCAAATGCATTATGCACAAAAATCAATGCTTATTCATAATATAGCTATTGTTGAAGTCACTAATACCAATGCCAACTAATAAACACGTCCTATTTTCAAATATTACTGTATATATTATATTGCACAAAAGTACCAACTCATGATGTGAATGTCGTCAGTTCTTTGATGAAAGATGTTTTGTGGTACTGATATACTTTACAAACCTTCATCAAAATTTATCCTCTCTGTGTATTTTCATGATATGTCTGGTAATTGTAATTATTTTTTGTTTTATTTCGGTTAAATTTATTTTTAAACTTTATTTTTCATCCGTGTTATTTTTTACTTGCTAAAATTATATGTAATGTAGTGAAATAAACATTTATCTATCACATATTTCATCAAAATGTGTCTATTGAAATCGATTTTATGTTGTTATTGATAATTAAGTACCTATGCTTTGTTATTTTAATTAATTGAATGTAATTAATGAACAAGTCGGATTGTTTCATTTTTCAAATAAGTCTTTATATAAGAAGTATATTGTTTGAGAAGAATAGATAATGATAATTTAGAAACCTAAGTTTATGTTTACCAGTTGTTGGGTGACAAGGTAGCCTGCTTGCTATTTGTATTATTCGTTTATCTATGAAATTTATCTCAATCAATAAGAAGTGTAATTTTTGTAATATACAAAATCGAAAGAAATTTAAATCTAGAGAACTTTAAACGTTTTCACAGAAAATTTCCTGCATATGCAATTGGCAATACAACTGAAAGAATCGACCTTCAATTTTGGAACGGGCACACTTGCAGACAGGTTTCGGGCTCATTAGCCACTCATCAGTGCAAGATAGTGGCCATCATCGACCTAAATTCAATGATATTCCATAATTGAAAATCATAATTCTTTCAGAGTATTTCATTTCTCTTCCTAAGTTGGAGCGAACAACAAAATGTCACTTAATCTAGTGGACGAGGTACTAATCAACTGTGAAGATTCCTGCACTGACGCCTGTCGGATATAATCCAACGCCCTTCGTGGTATTAGCCAGGAGAGAAGTTGTTTTCGGATAGGCTTCAGCCCATTCAACTTACTGTGTAGGTATGTTCGAGACTGGCTTGAACGTTTATGAAGTTCATTTCTTTAAATTTGTTCACTGCCAGTCTTCAAGCATAGCCCACTGACTAATAAGGCTAATAAGACAATAAAGGCTATTATTATTATTATTATTATAATGTACCACAAAAATACCATCACTTTTTCTGTGAACAGCGAAAGCATGTTTTTTCAGTGTACAGAGGAAAAAGTTGAAATCAACCAAACTTTTTTTTCTCCGTGTATATCGAGGTGGTATACACATCATATTCAAGGTTACGAATTTTGAGCCATCGAACATCAAAGGCGGCATCAAATCAGTGATAGAGGATAGAGGTGCTTTCTTCAAATCATTAAAAGTAGTTATGTAGGTTGGGTTTAGAGGTTATATTTTCATTAGTTTTTCATGTTTTTATTTGAAAATTTGAAAAATAAAATTAGGAGTTTACCAAGGTACTGAAAACGTAGGTATTCCTTGTCTTACATTTATTGACTTGCTTAATTTGTGTATTTTGTTTGCCTTTATGGGAAATAGTAGACAGTCAAATGAAATTTTTATCACAGGCCAAAACTGTGAAACACCATTTTTCAGCACATTACATTACACCAATCAAGTGTTCACCATCAGAAGATCTTAAATTATGATCTTACTTTGAAGAGGAAAAGTAAAATTTCCTTTAATTGATTTAATTTTCTTTCATTGTATTCATGACAAGTACCTTCCTAACTATCCCTCATCATATTTTAGGATGAGTTATGCCGTCCTACATATGAAATGATTTTTTTCTCGAAACACTTGTATTTTAATTATTCACAAATTTTGTAATTGTAATGATTTTTTTACAACTGAAACTCGAGTTGTATGATTCTGAATAATGCTCATTTCAAATTGTGCATTTAATTACTACACTAGAAATGAGCATTTCCAATTAATACATTCAAGTAGGTAGGTAATTGATCTTGGAAACCTAGGCCTAACCTGTAAAAAACTATTGCTTATAAAAATAAATAAAAATATAAGGCTTCAACAGTGACGTAACATTTTTCAAAAGTTTAAAGTTTGAATTCAGGTTATATTTTATGAAAAATAAGAATAAATTACAATATATTTTGTGTACTTTGTACTCTTTGTAAGGTACCCCTTTCACCCTATTATGTTTCTCAGTTATGAGTCCTGTTAAGTTTCATTGTTCCTTTTTTACGTTTTTCTATTAAGGAACCAACAATGAAATCTATGAAGAGTTTAGGGTTTTTGTGTTGCCCTTGTATGAGTGAGTCCTCGTTTTTTACTTTTCATCTGATTTTTTTATTGAAGATATTTGAAAAATGTATGGGATATAGAAAATAATTTTGAAATTAACCTGTATCATTAGAACTAATTTTGGGAACTACATGTAATTAGCGAATTAATTTTTAATATGATATTTTTTATTGCCTTTGGTTTTGTCAAACAAAGCATAACTAGTCATTATTTGACAAATGTAAAAGATTGGGTGTCGATTAGGTATTGATTTTATCAAAAAATATTCCAGTAATTTTTTCAGTTAATTTATTTCCTTTTTACATCGGCCTTACCGCAGATACTTGAGTAATGAGAGCTGTTACAAGATTTTATTCTGTAAAATCAAACCTGAAGATTAATCCAGTACAAAACCTGGTTGCAACGAAGACATTACAGGTATCATTGAGCGGAGATGATATTGCCACAGTTAATTATGAGGTTCTCAATGGTGACAAGTATGATTTGACTCATACTTCAATTCCAAAAAAATATCACGGACAGGGGCTGGGCTCCATTTTTGCAGAGGTAATTTTATTTTTTACCATCTTTTTCAATGAAATACTTGATTCACTATATATTATTCAGACGGTTGCATAAAGAATTGCAAAGAAATTTATATGTGCTATTGTCCTTAACTTCAATTTATGTTTTCATTTCTCCAAATATATATTCATTTGTTTTCATTAAGTTTTGAAAGTGATGTTGGATTAGAAGAAAAATTATTATGGTGTATAATGAATTGTGCAGATTATACTGGGTGAGTGAAAATCGAGAGGATGAATGGGAATTTCAAAAGTAGTAATACTTTTTGAGATCCACATATATCTTCTTGAATTTTATTGAGCCAGAAAATGAATTAATAATTGGCCATACAAAAATTTAAAAAATAATCAGTTATCTCAGTAGGCAGTAGGCATCATCTGTGGCAGCAACTCAGTCCACAATGTTTTGGTTAATCCAGTTCGCTATTTTAACTGTACGATGTTACACATTGAAAATGTTTCATTTCATATCACATGTTAAATGTCTAGCCATATTTTATCTAGGCAAGGTAAGCTTCTCAATTCCAAATTGTACCTAGCTGATCTTCTATTCTTCATAGATTCTATTGAAAAAACTATAATAAGTACACGTAACAGTTTTCAGAGTATAACATATGCTCAATGCTTTGTTTTTTAAAACCTAACCTAACCTAACCTAACCTAATGTTTTTTACCACTTTTATTTGTAATTAATGTTACTGCAGTTTCGTCTTATACAGACATTTTCAAAAGATTAGAGTTTGTGATTACTGCAAAAAAATAGAAATTTCAATTCTCATTTTTCAATTGTAAACTTCTAGGCAAGTTAGTATTATGCTGCCAATAAAGATTTTTTTTTAAATAAATTTTTATATTTTGTGCTGAATTCCCAAAATTTCAAGAAAATAACTACGATGGACGACTCATTTACAATCTTTTGAATATATCATCATGGAGAAGGAATTGGATATATTTTTTCATCTATGAACTTTTTTTGTTTGATCTTGATAAATCAAATGAATTTGTGATACTGATGGAATTCCAAATTTCAATTGAAATTTATTATTTTCCTCAAAAACTATAGTAAATCTAAAAATAAAATAAAAACAGTATTGCATTGAACTTGAAGGAGAACTGTAATATTTTTTTCAGGTCAGTGATTCTTGAATATTTCACTAGAGTCGAATATATGGCAAAATATAACTACCTCCTCTTACATTTTTTATTTTTGACGTAACATTGAAATGCAAAACAAATTCCTAGTTACTTTCTATTGAAATTGTAAAGGAATATCTCAGCAGATTTTCTCAATATAATCTTTTATTTCAGAGGATATTTGATTACCTTGCAAGCAACAACAAGAAATTTAAACTAACCTGTGAGTTTCTGCAGAAAATTCATGTTCAGAATGGGAAAAAATATGAAAATTATGTAATAGATTCCTGAGCCTGAGACAATAATTGAATTGAACATTATTCCTCCAAAACTGATATTGACTTGAACACTTTTATTAAACATGGGATGATCATAATTGAATCATTTCACAAAATTATTGCACTATTATTATTTAATCTGTTATTTGTTATCTGTTATTTGAATTATAGTTGTTGTGAATCAAATCATTCAGACAATAAAATTTCAGTTGCCTAACTACCATTTGTTTGTATTTCAGAATTCCAAATATGAGGTTATTCATCTATTGGTAAATGTTTCTAGAGTAAATGACTTGAAAAATAAAACCAGATAATTCAAACACTGAATCTTACATCAATAGTTGAAATTGTAACTTCAAAAATGGACAAATTAGAAAATATTGATTTGAAATCAAAAATATTTCATTACTTTCATGAAAAATTGTTCAATCACATGCTTACTTCTGCAAAGGAAGGTATGTCCAGATTCAAAGGTGATATTTCATATCATTTGTATCATGCATTGGCATTAATGCTAGTTAATCGACTTGAAGAAGGAATTCATGATCTAGAAACAATACAGATGGAGAATGAGGTGAAACTGGCTGTAACGATAGCCCTAATGTATGGCCATAAATTGATTGGAGTGACCAATAAAGATTTATACTCCAAATTAGATAGTAAAATGAAAGAATACCGGAAGTCATCTGAGGCAATAGATTTTTACTATACAGCCTTTGTTCTTCTATGTTTCAAAAAAACTGAAAAGGCCTTCGATTACATTGAGAAAGCTTTGAATATGGATAGTGCTTTACATGAATGTCAAACTTTAAAAGGGTGGATTTTATTAATTCTCGATAATGGGAAAAAATCCGTTGATGGTATCAAAGATATATTTCAGAACTCTTTGATGCAAAATCCAAGAAATTTAACTACAGTTATAGGACTTACCGAATGTTATTTACTTCAAAAGGATAACAACGAAGCATTGAATACAATTAATAAAGCTCTAGTTCGTTACAATCAAACCAATTTGCCACTGTTACAAAAAATACGCATACAGATTGCTGCTTTGGACTGGGATCAAGCAATCGAGACAATTAATAGAGTTTCATCTATTGATAATAAGAATTTGCATATCAAGAAATTGTATGTAATGATTCTGATGTGTCGTTTAGAAGATTATGCAGAAGCTTTGAATGAAATGAAAACATTTTTAACCATTATGGAATCAACTGAATCTGGAAATATTCAACTAATGTTAGAGGTTGTTCATCTTTTTGGTAAAATATGTAGAAAAAACGATCAAATACTATCAGAAACTAGTAAAGTATTGGAGGTGGCTGTACAGCACAACCCAGAAAATGCTGTTATTATTGTTGAGATGGGACATCATGCTTTAAAAAGAGGAAGGATCAAAGAAGCTTTGAGGTAAGTTTAACAAAATGCCTACTAGAACATTTTGACTGATGATACTTTTCATATTTTTTTTTGAAGAAAGTTGAAGGTTTAGATTTCCATTGCCTGAAAAAAGTTTCATGTTTACATAGCATATTTCATCCGAAGACAATTGTTGACATTAACAATCGAAACATCAAGAAGTAGCTTGTTTTAAATTGTTATTTTTGTCATAATTTTTTTCTTTTTTATAATTTGTATATTTTCTCAGTGATAAATAATTTCGGACCAACATCAATTTACTTTGATAATATTCTCCTAAATTTCAACCATCTTTTAGAGAAGAATGTAAACTTTCACGGCCGGAGATAACTGTTTGAAAGCTATTTTCTGTTTTTTTTTGCTCGTGGTCTACAGGTTTTCATGTCAGACGTTTCGTCTAGTACTAAGGTAAATATTGTCGAAGGCGATGTGGTAATGGTCGCGGTGCCCTTTGGTGTTCGAGTTCCCATTCCGAACTACGATGCTAGTATTTGTCTCTGGGTTTTATATTATTATTATTATTAGTGGGCGTGGCGTGGTTTCTCCTGATTGGATTACCTGACTTTGTTTGTATACCTGTCAGGATAGGTGGCCAGATTTTATTGATGGTCATTGCCTCTTCTTTTCTATTAAAATCATCTCTGTGTTTTTGAATTTACATTGCTTCTCTATACACTCGGATAATTATTTTTAGTTTTATCGAGTATTACTGTATCTTCAAATGAGACAGTGTGAGTGCCTTCTTTGTTGAGAGCTTGTTCAGCTACAGTTGACTCGTCGGTTTTTCCGAGTTGAAAATTTATCTTGTGTTTATAGAGACGGGTTCCCACACTCCTTTTCATGGTTCCAATGCAAACCGTCCCGCAGCTACAAGAAATCCGCTATCCCCCGGGTGTTGCTAAAGGTTCTCTGGGGTTCTTAGCTGATCTTAGACTTTGTCTGATAGCTTTTGTTGGCCTAAATATTGTTTTTCTATGATTCTTTCAATATGGTCTGTAACATTTATTGACCAACTTAGCTGGGTTTACTTTGGCATTATCTCTCCTGAGTTGTATGGCCCGCTCGAATTCTCCTTCGCTGTACTTATTCGTATTGAAGCCATTTTTCAGGTGATTGAGTTCCTCAGGAAGACCCGTCGTGCTCTCAACTAACGTTTTGATTACCCCTCTCTTTCGTTGTGGCTGGTGATTAGAGTTTTTGTTCACGTACCTATCTGTTCGTGTTGGTTTCCTGTACACTCAAACCTGCAGACCACGGCCAAAAAAATCGTGAAAAATAGCTTTCACATAGTTATCTTTCAGAAAATGAAATTCCGAACTTCCAAAATTCAGATTTGTTGATGTCAATTTTGTTGTTCACACACAATTTGATTTTGCTATTATAACTGGCAGCTGATTGCCTACTATTGAAGACCATTGAGTCTACTCCCTTCACCTATTCTAATAATATTCACTGTCTTCCTCTCTCTACAAGTTCCTAGATTTCTAGGTATTTCATGTGTTTTGTTGTGTCAGATGACACTTACTTGAACAATTTATCTGAATAACATGGTGTATTATTATTAACATGCGGACCCAATTATATATGATAATTATAGAGAAATTATTTGAGCTCATTATGAAAAATCAATTACTATCCTTTTTTACAGCAAATCATCCTCTTTCATCAAATCAGCATGGTTTTACTAATAGTCAGAGCAGTTAAACAATTATATATGATTTCAGTGGGCATCTTGTTCTTGACTGCAAAATTCCAATATCCGGATAATTCATATATTTTTCAAGAGTGTGGATCATGATGTAATAATTTTAAAAATGGAAAAACTTGGAGTTCAAGGTTTTGCTCAAGGCTTGATAAAATTATATATTCAGAACAAATCTGAGATGCACTAAGTCAGTTCATAGTAGTCAAACGATGCATTCCTTAGGAATCTGTACTGAGAACACTGCTCTTTCTAATATATGAAAATTTCGAAACAACTGAAACTCAAAAGAGTAATTATCTGGCCTACAAAAAATCACTTGTCACTCAATGTAAATCGAATCATATTAATGAAGTTACTAACTCCAAATGATTATCTTTGAAAATAAAGATCTTAAAGTTGTATCCTGTCCAAGAGCAAAAATGCTTGGTCCCACTATAGATTATACACTCACATGGAGTTTCCATATCTACTCACATTGTGAAAAATTAAAAATAAATTGTTATGCATTAAGGTTTATGAGTAATCACTGCACCGCAGAAGCCCCCTTAAGTTGTCAACCACCTTCAAACAAAACCCCTGCAAGTATCCACTTTCATTTACGATATGGAACTTTTCAACTGAGGTTCTTGTTGTTCTACCAAGAGAGTTTTCATACTTCAGAAGTATGCCATCAGAATTATTGCTGGTTTTGAGTGGCATCATGGCATCAATCATGCATAAATCCCTTTGAAGAAGTGAAAATCCCCAACTTTACTGGACTATAAATAAGAGTATATGAAGTGTTTGTTTATGTCTTCAATAATATCTATAAGTTTATATTGAACAGTGAAGATCATGACTACTCCACTATATCAAAAGATCTATAATAGCCACTCCCCATCGAACTACTCAATATGAAAAAAATGTCCTGTACTTTGGACGTGAATTATTCAACAAATTGGACACCTTGATGAAAGATTCTAGCAATATCAGTTTTCTAGTGTAGGTTGAAAGCTTACTTCCTCCAAAAAAAATTGTTACACTTTCAAAGAATTTTTAAACCAATAATTTAGGTACTTTCATTCCTAATTTTAATTTGCTCTAACGTATTCTTCATTCAAAAGATATTATTTAATTTTGAGAATAGTGTGAGTTTTGTGATGTATTTTAATTTATTCTGATTTCCAGATTCTCTGTTGTCATAATATCTATATTTTACAGCAAATGACGTTTTCCTTGTATATGTATTTTTATATTTTCGTGAAGAAACTATATTTTTTGGAATTGAGAAATGAACAAATATCAATATTATTACATTGATAACCTGCAGACTCCTGCCCTAAAGATAATCAGGATAAAGGCACACATATTTTCATTTCCTCTGTAGTTGTTACATTCATTTACAATATTGTTTCTCATATAGTGAATTTCATGTTACTTCATATTCAAAGTTATGAATCACACGTTAAAACGTAAGACCTCGTTAATCCTTAGCTCGCACAAGTTTCGACTTCTGAGGGTTGTCGTTCGTAGGGGTGCGACAGCTGGTTGACGGAAAAACAGATTTTTTTAAACAGACAGAAGTAGCAGGGTAGAGTCCATATTGCAACATCAACATGAAAATCTGTAATGTCAACCAGCAACTCATATATATTTTTTGAGAGACACTCTTAGACACCCTAAAATTCCAGGTCCAAGTCCAAAGTAGATCAGTTTTGAATAGGTACATACGTAGATACTGTTCCTTACACAGTTACTTACACATAGATACTAGTTGTCTTACACATGATACACAGTTGGTTCATTAATGTGTCTGAGTAATGTGCTTCCCAGCTTGATTTTTGGACAGTTGTTGAACCTGAATACCTAAATTGCTATACTTTATCTGCAAATTTATGATCCTCAGTAGAGGGAGAAAAATCATAAGTCATATTTTTCTGTTGGATAATCACCAAGTATGTTTTTCCTATATTGACTGTCAACCAATAATTTGTGTATCAGTTTGTAATTTTTTCTTCAATTTCATTTGCAGCTATCGTAATCTGTTGAAGATAATTTTTTGCCATTATTTCACATGTATCGTCTGCATAAATTATAGTTTTTTGTAGAGAATTGCATGAAAGTTCAATATCACTGATATAAAATTAGGAATAATGGGGCCAATATGGAATCTTGTCGTATTCCAGTTGAAATGAAAGCAGGTTGGTGTTTTACTGAATTAATAACTACTATCAGAGCTGGGTTATTCAAACATATCGCAACTCAGTCATTTTCTACTCCTCTAACTCATATTCAATACAAGTTTTCCAGGAGTAGTTCATGTTTGACTGTATTACGCAACCTGGAGAAACCAAGAAATAAGTCAAATGGGGTTTGCTATTATTAAGATTTATATAGATATTATTTCCTAATTGGTTGATTGCACTTGGAATGTTGTTCGGGGCGAACAACCTCGGGGAAGGGAGAAATGTTGTAAATTATCCCCTAAAAATAATAACGCCGGCCGCCGCCAGCCAACAGCTTGTTGGTAGTGATCCAACAGTCAAAAGAGGCTAGTCTAGTTAGGAGTGTGGTATGAAGCGAGCTAATAAGGCGATATACACTTGAATATTAGTCTGAAGGTTTCGTGTTGTATCGTAATGGTGTATAGTAATGGAATAAATTTGGTTTTAATTTTACAGTATGGTAAATAGACAAAAAACCTATTTTGAAATACTGTTCTATAATGATGTGAAATATAATTACGTGTATCATATTTTCGCAAAAAAATTAAGTTTGGTATAAAACAAATACACTTTAATTCATCAGTTTAAAATTTGCACCAAAAAACGTCAAAGTGTTTTGTGGAGGTTGAAGGTTTGCTGTAATAATTCAATTGAGAGGACAGTATATTTCATGATAAAATACTTTACCTTTCAAATTTTTTCTGCATCTGTCGTAGGCTAAAAACTTATCAAACTTATAATTTATTGAAAACCTTCATTCATTCATTTTTTCGGATGAATCTTCCTGTATAATCATCAGAAATTTGGTGGGATGTACCTAATTAAAAAATTATATATTTTCACTTTTTTGGTCCATTATGGAAATTTTGAATTTTGATCCTCAATGAAAATGAATGATAATCCATCATGATTTTCTTGAACATTTGAAATCACTACCAATGATTATTATCTTCAGGTATTTCAAAAATGCTACAAAAATTGACGAAACTTCATTGGATGCTCTTCTTGGATTATCACTATGTGAACTGGCTGAGAATGGAAACACACATCAACTCAAGGAACAAATAGATTTTCTTTTAGAAATGAAAGATGCTCAAGGATCGCCTATACTGCATTTTTTGCAAGCTAAAATTAGTAACGACTCTGAGGAGGCTCTGAAATATCTCATTAGGATTTTCGAAAATAAAATATTACTGTTGAAGAATTGCCCTTTCTCTGATAAATATCTGTTAATTCTGGATCCTAGTTTCTCAATGGAAATAATCAAAGAATGCTTTCAACATATTTCATTGTCAAAAACTTCATGGAAGAATGTTATTGATGTGGTATCAGAAGTTTTGAATATAATATCGAGAGTATGTCCAGGTTTGATGGAAGCTCTGTATCTGCTAGCGAAGATTCAGTATATGAAAGGAGACGATAAAAATGCTCTGACTACTCTAGAAAAGCTTCAAGGAAATACTGCCAATCCAAATAGTGATGCACAGTTACTTATGGCTCAAATCCAAGTGAAGCATGGAATGTTTGAGAGAGCAATCCAAAGCTTAGAAGTGAGTGACTTTCATTTTAGTATTATATAAGAATGATTGAAGATATATTTTGGACTCCACCATATTGATTACGTAGGTACTTATTCAAATTCAAACAGGTCATAACTGAAATAACATAATTTCCGAATCAGGAGGATGGAATCCCTAGCTTGTGGTTCGGAAGTCCCTTCTTTGCGTCCCAGGATANTATATTGGTAAAAAAACTGCCAAGTGTCCATCGCCATCTGGGCAGAGTTTTCAATTAATGGTTGGAGGGAGAGCAGCAGATTCCGGATTGGTTTGTTGAAGGTGGACCGTTCTTATTCCTAAGAGTGGAGATTTGTGGATTCATAAGATTATGAATGGACTGACCCATCACTTGATGAAAATTAATAACACTATACATAATAATCATGAAACAATTTTTAAGTCATTTTTTATTTCTGGACGCGTTTCGCTATCACCGTACCTTCCTTGGTAGAAATTGGCTAGAGAGCTATAAAATGTTTGAACTCGTGGTATAAGTTGCTTACGAGCATTTTATACATTCAAATACTCTCCGCAATTGACCAAGTATTGGAACGGATATATGAGCAAAGAGGGTAAAAGAGGAGAACATGTTCATCGACAGATGTGTAACGCAGCACTCGGTACAGTATAAGCGTAACTTTTCCGTGGCCTGGATCGATATAACATCGCATGAGCTCATCCTGCGTTTGTTGAGATGCCTCGTGGTACCCGATAAAATAGTGAGATACCTTGAACAACTGATACCATACTGGATGACTTCCTTTACCATAACATTTACTCATACAAGAGTCTAAACGTAGCGGGTCACTTTCAGAAGTGTTGTATTTCTGGGCGATTCCCTCAGTCCGTTTCCTTTTTGCATCTCACTGTTGCCATTATATGTTGCGCTCAGACGTATTCGAAGATACAACTGTGGTACCCCTGGAAACTGAGTTATAAGGTCATGCATTTGCTTTTTATAGATGATCTTGAACTTAATCCTCTGGAGAAAATTATCTCCATTAGTCCTTAAGGGTATTGAAATGAAATTTGGGATAGACAAATGTGCAACAGTCCATCTCAAAAAAGGAAGATGCGGGATTACGGAGAGGAGGTACACCTGGTAGACAGTAATATCTTGTACCATCTGGATGCCAGAGAGACGTATTCTTACTTCAGGGTAGAACACCGCCAGTCACAAGAGGTGACCTCAGTGAAGACCTCTCTCCGCGGAAAGTAATCAACACAAACTCTGACTTATCTTGTCATCGGAACTGGAAAGAACAAAGTTGCTGCTACGAATATGCTTGCCGTTCCAATTTTACTCTACTCATTCGGAGTAGTGAAATGGACTCGGTAGGAGCTATATCAACTCGATAAGGTACATCATTTTTCAACCCGAAAAATGATGTACATTCATAAGAGTTTGTAACAGAACTCGTCCGCTTCACGGTTATACTTTCCCCGACAATAGGAAGGTCGTAAAATTTTGAGGTTGAGGTGTTTACATGGCAGAATAGTACTGGATGTAACCTGTAAAGTTATCAGGAGTTTGTATCTTCTCTGTATGATCTGCAACCACGAGAAAAAAGGAACTGGAACATTTCTTTTTAAAGTAGGTGTCGGGACGATGAACTTGGTTTTGTTTTCGATCACAAATCTGTGACTGAGTTGGACCTGTTCAGTAAAAAATCCACATAAAAGCCACATAGGGCTAAGCTGATGCATGGGATCTTCTTCAACAACATTGAAGACCTCGGTTTTATCAAAACATCTGACATTTGCTTTCATGGTCTGCCAGGATGGTGTTTCGCAACATTATAGGCTACTGTAGTCACATGATAGGTATCGAGGTCCCGGACACCAGGTGCAAGGCCTGACGTGAGACGCCTGGAACCATAATGCACTTGCATGTACAGCATATGCGATATCATATTTCGATTGAAATATTGCGGCCCTAAGAGTGCTATATTACCATATATGGCGCATTCCTAGTGACATTGGTGTTGACCTACGCTCTGGGGGATATTGAAACTGTTCTAGGGTATTAGATGTGTCGAATTTATTGGAACTATTCATTCCCCACTCGTAGACTCATATATACTTACAACTTTGGTGTAGTTTTTCTCAACCAAAAAAATATATGTTCTGGAGTATTCAGCTCCGTTTAAGACAGATATAGCCCAAAAAAGAAGGAAAATGGATAAA